CCGGTAGGCCGCCAACCCTAAACCGAGGACCCTAAACCCTAAAGCCTAGACCCTAAACCCTAAACCCTAAACCGTAGACCCTAGACCCTAGACCCTAAACCCTAAACCCTAGACCCTGGACCCTAAACCCTATACCCTACACACATATATCGTAAACCCTAAACTGCCCTGAGGCCTGAACCTTAGACACCATAGACCCTAAACCCTAATTCCTAAACCCTACACACCTAGATCCTAAACTCTGAACTGAACCCTGAACCCTAAACCTTAGACACTATAGACCCTAAGCCCTAGACCCTAAACCCTCCTAGACCCTCGACTCTAGACCCTAAACCCTACACACCTAGATCCTAGACCCTAAACTGAACCCTGATCCCAAAACCTTAATCGGGCTGCGGTTTCCCAACAGGCCTAGGGCTCCTAGTATAAGAGTTCGCGGCTTTATGGCTGTCTTTGGGGGGAGGAGGTCTTTAGGGCTTAGGATTTAGGTGTTTAGGTGTTTAGGGTTTAGGGTTTAGGTGTTTAGGTGTTTAGGGTTTAGGGTTTAGGGTGTAGGTGTTTAGGTGTTTAGGGCTTAGGATTTAGGTGTCTAAGTGTTTCGGGCTTAGGTGTTTAGGGCTTAGGTCTTTAGGGCTTAGGTTCTTAGGGTGTATCTGTTTAGGGTTTAGGTGTTGAGGGCTTAGGTGTTGCGGGCTTAGGGGTTTAGGTGTTGAGGCTTAAGGTGTTGAGGGTTTAGGGTTTAGGGTTTAGGTGTTGAGGGTTTAGGGTTAAGGTTTTGAGGTGCAAGACTGTGTAAAGTAAGTATCAGCATCCTCCTCCTCGGGAGCTTCCGAGGATCAGGGGTGTCCTTTTTGGGGAGGGGCGTTCTTGAACAAAGGGCCCTAAGATCTGCAATCTAGGTTGCGGTTCAGGGTTTTAAAGTGTTTAGGTTAGGATTTAGGGTTTAGGATTTTCGGGTTTTAAAGTGTTTAGGGTATAGGGAAACTCCACGTTCGGGGTCTATCCCTAGGGGTCCAAGTACCTAATAGTCATAAACTCTCCCAAACCGACCTGAGCACCTGATTTTTGGGTCCTTTGGGCCCTTGGGGTATACAACGGTCATCTAGCACCTTCCGTATCAAGGGCTGCGGGCTCAAGATTCAGGGTTTCACCGTGTTGATGGGTTTAGGGTTCAGGGTTTCTTGAGGTGGAGGGTCTATGGCTTGTCTTTTTCAATATGGCGCTCTTCCGTAAGCCATAACACCTAAACCCGAAAGCAACAGCGTCTTGAGTTTCTTGTGCCAGGCTGAAGTATCGGAGGCCATGCCAGACCAGCATGATTACTATTACTCTTACTATTGCTATTCTTGTTATTATTGGCATCAGTGCCATTCTTGTACTTACTATCGAACCCATCAAATCTGAGTCCGGCCTGGTAATTCGCAGGACACCCTTCCTCCCCGCCTCTTCTTTCTCTAATGCAAGAAACAGCTGCAGCGGTAAAGGAAAGCAGCAATATCAGAGTTCGCGGGTTCAGGATTTTGGATTGAGTGTTTCGGACTTCACGGTTTAGGCTAGTTTAGGGCTTTCGGAAAATTTTGGTCTTAGGTGAGCACCCCCTTTCAAAGCTTGCGTGCTTATGTGTGTGTGTGTGTGTGTTTGTGTGTTTGCAAAGAATATGTGTGCATGCATGCCGGCATGCACACACACACACACGCGCACAAACACTTTTCCACTCATACATGTCATATAGGTGTGAATACGCATGTTTGTATATATACACACACACGCATACATACATATACATATACATATACATATACATATACATATACATATACATATACATATACATATACATATACATATACATATACATATACATATACACATACACATGCATATACATATACATATACATATACATATACATATACTACATGTATCTATATATATATATACACATACATATACATATATACGTATACATACATGCTTACAGACACGCAGACAGACAGACAGGGCAGGCAGACGGACATGGGTATGCGCACATGCATAGTGCATTACATGTGTATATTTGTGTATACACAAGCGCAGACACCGAGATTTTCTTTGGAGAGAGAGAGAGAGAGACGAGTGAGACAGACAGACAGATAGACAGACAGACAGACAGAGAGCGAGAGAGAGAGAGAGAGATTGAGAGATCAATTGTATCTGTATGCAGGCAAACACGCGCACACAGTCAGACACGTCGGCACAGATGCAAAGCTGACTGTAGAAACTGCATCGACGTGGATCCATGCAAGGAGGCGTTAAGGGCACAGGAGGAGATTTTGCCCAACCATCTCCAGCACGCACTGTTCAACAACACCCACCCGAAACCGCAAACCCCAAACTATGGACATGCACATCACTCAACATAGTGAACCCCAGAAAGTTGGAACCTGGGGTTAGGATGACGAGTGCTGGGATTCCCTATACTTTACCTTAGGGGCATGAGGATAATGATGCTCCAAGTTTCTGGCTTCTGCTGTATTATACCCTGAACCCTAAACCCTAAATTATATTCTAGGGCTACAATCGACCCCTACCTCCTCTAGTAGACCCTACGTGCCACTATTGAGGACCAAAGATTGACTCCATTAACGTGATCTTGCAGGGTTCCTAGGCCTCTAGAAGTGAGGGTTCAGGATTTAGGGTAATATAGGGGCCTTTTTTAATTAGAATATACTATACAATAAGGAACCCCCAAAAATGGTATAGGCAATTACTTAGGCCCCTGTCTTAGGCCCGGGAGAGCCCTCATTTTGCGTCTCGCCACGCGCGGCCGCATCACAAAGCGCAACGCCTGCAACAGCCTGGAGATCAACAACGGGATCTCAGAGCTTCAGCTTTGAGGTGTTGGGGTTCAGGGTTTAGGGTTTAAGGCTTTGAGGTGTTGGGGTTGAAGGTTTAGGGTTTAGGGTTTAGGGGTTGGAGTTTAGGGTTTGGGGTTTGAGGTGTTGGGTTTAGGTTTCGTACGGATTTACGGCGTGGCCTTTGGATTTAGAAGAGTTGAGGTGGCTACTTTCCGGTACGGGCTTCTGGGTTTTGACGTAAGGGACGCCCCAAAGTGATGCAGAATCAAGGAAAATGACAAGTCACCCAAAGCGCCATACGCTGACAAACAGCCCTATCAAGCAAAACCACTGCTATACTGCATTGTACTACGTATACTATACCATATTATAATATGAGGTTATATATTTTGGTACAGGAACTAATCTATACTCTTGCGAACGAGGCAGGACTGGCAACCCTCCACAGCCAACTTCCTTTCCTCTCAGCTTACAGCCGGACATCCCAGTTTGTGCCTTGAAGCACGGCCCGCAGTTTTCCCGCACATATGGGAGTTTCCGAAAATTAGGGGTACCTTATTTTGGGGCCCTTATAATAAGGATGCTATTATTTAGGGTACTATATTAGGGTCCCCTATTCTCGGAAACCCCCATAGGAATGTTAAGTCACCCTAAAGCCCAAGCCCTCAACCCTAAACCCTAAACCCTAAACCCCAAACCCTAAACCCTGTACCCTAAACCACCAGTAACCTAGGATTAGAAAGGGCTCCGTGTTTGGTATTGGGTACCTTTACAAGGAACCTAAGACTTCGAAAAAAGGGGCCCACTGGAAGCAGTTCAACTAAACAGATCTACCCAACAAACCCTGTGACGGTAACCCTTTCAGGGCATATAGAACCTGTAGAACCTAAACCCTAAACCCTAAACCCCTAAACCCTAAACCTTGAACCTGTAGAACCCTTTGAAAGATATACCGCACAACACTGCTCCGATTACTCTATAAAGCCCTGCAGCAACTATTAATGTTTAGGGTTT